CTAAAGAATATCAAGAGAAAGCACTTGCCATCGCGATAGAAATTGGCGACAGAAAACGAGAAGGAAGAATAAACTCGGACCTCGGATCTGTGTTCTATTCTCTTGGCGAATATCAGAAGGCTAAAGAATATCAAAAGAAAGCACTTGCCATCGCGATAGAAGTTGGCGACAGACAACAAGAAGGAAGAATAAATGGGAACCATGGAACTGTGCTTTCTTGCCTTGGCGAATATCGGAAGGCTAAAGAACATGAAGAGAAAGCACTTGCCATCGCGCTAGAAACTGGCAACAGACAAGACGAAGGAAGAACGTACGAGATACTCGGATCTTTGTTTACAAACCTTGGCGAATATCAGCAGGCTAAGGAATATCAAGAGAAATCACTTGCCATTGCGATAGAAACTGGCCACAGACAAACAGAAGGAGAAGCGTACGCGAGCCTAGGAAATGTGTTTGGTTTACTTGGCGAACGTCAGAAGGCTTTAGAATATCAAGAGAAAGCACTTGCCATCGCGATAGAGATTGGCAACAGAAAAGCAGAAGGAAAGGGGTACTTTGGCCTTGGATCTCTGTTTTCTTCCCTTGGCGAAAATCAGAATGCCAAAGAATACTACGAGAAATCACTTGCCATTGCGATAAAAATTGGCGACAGACAAGGAGAAGGAAGAACATACGGGAACCTCGGAGCTGTGTTATATTCCCTTAGCGAATATCAGAAGGCTAAAGAATATCAAGAGAAAGCACTTGCTATCGCTATAGAGATTGGCGACAAATATGCAGAAGGTGTGAGATACGGGGACCTCGGATGTTTGTTTTCTTCCCTTGGCGAACATCAGAAGGCTAACGAATATCACTTGAAAGCACTTGCCATCGCGATAGAAATTGGCAGTAGAGCAAGAGAATGTCGCGAATACGATAGTCTTGGATCTAATTATTTTAGCCTTGGAAAAAATCTGCCAGCTAAAGAATATTTTGAAAAAGCAGTCGACGTCAGTATAGCAATTGGTCACCGAGAGTTAGAAGCTTCTGCTCTTACCGGTTTAGCAAGTGTTTTTGCTTCTGTCAATGAAAATCTGAAAGCCAAAGAACATTGTGAGAAGGCGCTTACCATCAGCAGAGAATGTGAA